TCTACTTGGAATATTGTTTCTCTATGTAAACATCACATCTCCAATCTGCACATTGTGTGTAACATGATGATAGTACACTGAAGTAAACATTCTTCAAGGTCTGCATTCAGCTGTTGAATAATATTACTCTTTTGCAATTATTCATAATACCCAACAAGATCCTAACCACAAACAGCTACATTACTGGAACTGTTTAGTATACAATGAACTTTAGTTTTCTAAAAATATACTGTTTCCTTAGTATACTGTCCATACTTCCGCTCCCTCCCTCAAATTGTTACACAAGGCACTGATTTAATCCCTGGATCAGTAGCACAGTAAACACTATCTCCAAGACCTTAAATGGCTTATCTAGAATGATTATGGCATTGCTACACACACACACAAGATAGAATAAAAGAATCCCTAGAATATCAAAATAAGTGGCATTTTAATGACTATCATGAATGCAATAAAAGCCGGTGTTTTAAATAGTAGGCTAAAGCATAATGTGTTTATATCCAATGGATAAAATATGAGGAAGAACTGGGATGGTTTTCATAACAATCCCTCCTTCTTTGAAAGGTACTGCAAATCTTTAAAAATGAAATCTGTATTTTAAAAACAATTTTGACTTTTCTCGAGAATAATTTAATAAGCAGTATTAAATGTGAATATAAGCCACTGACACTGTCCAAAGCACCTAGTGCTCAATTAAGCATGTGCCAGGGAAATAAGATGGCAAAAGACAAGTCTTCTATCTCTCCAAAGGGAGAAGGAAGTTCTAAAATGTTATACACACAAGCTTTGAGGACGATGTCAACAACCTGGTTCAGGAAATATGGTTCCTCAGATTAAGATATTTACTCAAAATCTGAAGACCAGCACGTGAGGCACAGGCCAGGCTCCACAACTGGCTGTGACTGAAACTCCCTTCGCTTCAGTTTCCTCGTGTGTAAGATGAGGATAATACAGCCTCCCTCATCCGCTGGTTAAGATTAAATGATGCTGCATAACAGAAAAGACTTAACAGACCTGGTACATCGCAGGCATTGAACATTTGCCTTCCAGTCCCTGGTGCTATATTAGCTTAGTCAATAAGTGCATGCCTCATTAAAAAACAGGGGGAGGGTTTATAACAGTTTTTAAGCCTGGGATTTGCAAAACAGGTTCTAAAATAATTCCCCTATAACTAGAATTCTCTGTTGTGATACTCAACTTTAAAGTTCCTAAAAAGTGTCTAGTGGGTCTAACATCACCATCTGCCAATCTATTGCAAACACTTAGAATAACACTTCAAATATATACTCACTCACAGATCGATTGCTCAGATTAGAGAGAAAATTCTATTCACAACTGCAACATGACACTTACAAGAAACAGAGCACAGCCCTGTATGAAAATGTCCTTCTTGAGACTGTAAACATTCTGACAAACATACTATATAATAAGTTCAGCAAACAAGTAAGTGAAATCAAAATGAGTATTTTCTAGGAGCCTCTTGCACTAGAAAGACAGGTATTGAGAGAGAGGGGGTGGGGGGGCAAGCATGCATGGAATAGGGAGTTTATATACAGTAATAACAAGACACCTTATCCTAGAACTTAAAAGTGCATGAAGTGACTTATGGAAGTAATTCAAAAATTTCTTTGCATTTATTTATCAATAATCATTATTAAAACAACCCAGCAATACAGACATATGGAAGTCAGTTTATTGTTAGAATGATTCCCCTTCCATGACAAAAATTAAGAAGCAAAATGGAAAAAAGAAAATGAACCATCTACACTAGAATTTTTTTGAGAGAGAGAGAGAATGAGAGAGGAAAAGGGAGGTAAAGAGAGAAAGAGAAAAACATCAATTTGTTGTTCCACTTATTTATGTATTCATTGGTTGATTCTTGTATGTCCTTGACTGGGGATCAAACCTACAACCTTGGGGTATTGGGACGATGTCCTAACCAACCGAGCTACCTGGTCAGGACCTAGAATAGCATCTCAATAGCACTTGCCTATTTGAAAACATTTGCCTATGTTTTCAAATAGGCAAATGCTATTTTAATCAGGACTATAGTCATTGCCCCTGTGGTGATTAATTTTGTGTCAACTTGGCTATGCCACAATAACCAGATTTGGTCAAATATTCTAGATATTTTTGTGAAGATTTTTTTTTAGTTAAGATTAACATTCAAATCAGCAGAATTTGAGTAAAGCAGATTATACTATATAATATGAAGAGACTCATCCAATCAGTTGAAAGTGTTAATAAAAAAGTTTTTTTAAATGACAAGAGGACCATCTCGGAGGAAGAGGGAATTCTGTCTCCAGACTGGAATTGCAACCATTCTCTAAATCTCCAGATTTTGGACTTGCCAGCTTTCACCATTATGTGAGCCAATGGCTTAAAATCTCTCCCTCACTCTCTCTATACATACAGATACGTGCACGCACACACCCACACATCCTATTTCTTCCTTTTCTCTGCAGAACCCTGACTAATGTAATAACCCACACACCACTAAATTCCATTCTCACCACCAACTACATGTAATCACCTTACCCTCTCTTTTATACCTTATGTTTTGACAAAGTGATATCTCAATACAAAACAATCTCCTAATCATACAGTTAGCAGAGCTGATCAGAAATAGAACATCTTTCAAAAACTACAAGCCAAACTTGGCAGGTAGCTAGTGTCTTCCACAGACACGTCTTTCTGGTGGGCTTCCAGAGGTCTTCATGCACGTGGTTCTTCTCTATGTGGTTCCCGTTCGGTTTCAGGTCCCTTGTCAACACATCAGTTCCCTGGTTAGTGTGCTGGCTTTAATACGGCGCTGAGTACCTCCAGCAAGGTTGGTATTTCACTTTTTATATCTCTTCAACTCCAGAATTCCATTGCATTTTTCTATCATTTCTAACTCCCCAGTGAGATTCTCTATTTGTTGAATCACCATTATCACACTTTCCTTTAATTTTAGACACATGGTTCATTAAGTTCTTAGAGTATATTTCTAACAGCTGCTTTAAAAATTCTTGCCTGTAAAATTTAACAGTGGAGAGAATCAGAAACAGCTTCTACTGCCTGCATTTTTTGTCACTATATCACACTTCCCAGTTTTTTTGGCCATGTGTCATACATGAGGTTATGTTGAATACTAACCATTTTATGTAATATGGTATAACAACTCTGGAAATATGTCTTCCTCGAAAATGTAGAGTTACTAAAGCCTCTGCTTGCTTGGTCTTAATTTTTTGTTGTTTTGTTTTTATTTTAAAGCCTGGTTTCCCAGGGTTGCTCCTGTGTCCTAGTGGTTAGTCAATGATTCAACAGAGAATTTGCTTCAATACTCACTCAGTACAGGCTGTTATCCTTCCCAGGAAAATCTATGTGTGGACAGGGGAGCACATTCAACACTCAGAACATTTTCGAGTCTCCCAGATTTTAGTTTCCCCTGGACCTTTTGCAGACACTTTGCACAAACAGAAAGCCTCACCTAAGACTTTAGGTGACAAGAGCCACTGCCCTCCCAACTCAAGAGCGTAACTTCCATGGACAATGCTGCCGGGCAGGCAACACATGAGCATCTTCCAAGCACAGCAGGGAAGTGCCACTCCTCGTGACCCTCTCCATCCACTCCTGAATACTCAACCGTGTTGCAAGGAGAAGGGTGGAGTGTGATGGGGGCCCACGCACGAATGCCACAGATCCCCACTGGTAGTACTCAAAGTTCACCAGTTCTCAAACATAAACAATTTTCAGATTGCTGTAAGCCATTGGCTGAGTTCCAGAGCACTGAAATGGTTGGTTTTGTCTGTTCTGCAGATAATATTAGTCCTAAGTCATAAACCTCCATCATCCTTAAGTGTATTTATACCAGTTTCTGTTCTACTGCTACAGATTTATAACCATCTTGGAAGTCCTTACTCTTCCACATGTACTGTGAACCATTCCTGCCTTGGCAGGGTGGCTCAGCTGGCTGGAGCATCCTCCCTTACACCAAAAGGTTGCAGATTCGATCCCTGGTCAGGGCACACACTTAGGTTGCAGGTTCGATCCCCAGTCTGGGCACATAAGGCACGCAAACGATTGATGTTTCTCACTCACATCAATGTTTCTCTCTCTCTCTCTCTTTCTCTCCCTTTCTCTCTCTGAAATAAACAAACATACCCTCAGGTGAGGATTCTTTTAAAAACTTTCCTTTCCTTTAGACCCAACATATGATGCACCTTCTTCATGAGGCCATGTCCCCTTAATTCATGCACACTAATCTCTGCCTTCACTGAATTCCTATTATACATCATTATTTCATAATTAGTTTCTGTGACCTATACCTTGTTTTTCCAGCCACAGCCTTAAATTTTGGGGATAAGGAATTGGATTTTCTTGCTTTTGCATCTTCATTCCATACCTGTACATCAGAATTCCCCAAACTCCAGGCCACAAACAGGTACCAATCCTGGCCCATTAGGAACCAAGCTGCACAGCAGGAGGTGAGTTTGAATTCAATGAGCTTGAAACATCCCAAAACCGTTCCCCCCAAGCACCAGTCTGTGGAAAAACTCTGTTCCACAAAACCAATCCCTGGTGCCAAAAAGGTTGGGGATTGCTGCTGTAAATGATTTCCCATTTCAACTCCAAAATTAACACTTATAACGCATGTAGTTGAACTATTTACCTAGAATGCAAATTAAGACTCTAAGATCCAATCATTCTATTCCATTAACACATTCTCCTTTCTCCACTGCATCCATGATCTAAAGTGCACACGGTGAGCTGAGAGCACATGCTGGGGACTACCGGTTGTCAAGGCTAATATCCATTTTAATCATCTTCCTTACTAACAGAAATATAATAATTTCCCAGTGTTCATCACACTAGGAGTTCAAGTTGAAGAGATGCACTAACTTAAAAGACAGTAGTCATCTAGAGTTCACTAGGGAAATGGGTGATCAAAGTTCACCCTCTGAAATAACAATGTAAATTTTTAATGAAGCTTCAAAGAATTTTTAAAGTTCCCTTACCCAGAAGATCCAGTGCTCTTACAAACTCCAAGGAGGGGCCTTTTTTCAGCAAAGCTATCACACTTCTGAGCACCTGATAAGGAACATAAAATGTAAAACAAAACTTTGAGAAGTATTCTTACATCATGCCCAGTATCTTCATGCTCTCAAAATATTTACAGCTGAAGAGATAGCAAAACATTCATTATAAATTGATACAATTTATACATTTGAATGAGCAAAAAACAGAAAAGGTATAAATAAGCCTATTACTAGTTTTAAAAATTAAACTTGCTCTTAAAATACTTTTTAAAATTTTTTAAATTAACTTAAATCTTATATACATATTCTCCATGAGATCAAAACAATCATGTCAACTCTACTAAATAATTATCTAGAGCTAGTATAATCTTTATGTCAAAACTAAATAAAGGTAGTTCGGGACAGGAAAATTATAAAATTATAGGCCATTCTCAAAACACATAAATATAAAAATCCTTTAAAAACCGAAAAAGAGACTTCCAGTCAAGATGCAGGTATAGATAGACATGCTTTGCCTCCTCACGCAACCACAAAAAGGAATTACAACTAAATCTCAAAACAAATAACACCCAGAATTGTCAGAAAATCAAACTGTCTAAAAGTCCAACAACCAAGGATTTAAAAAAGCCACAGCCATCCAGACAGGTAGGAGGGGCAGAGACACAGAGACAGGATGGAGAGGCGAGAAGACATCGTATGGCTCGGAGAGGCAGTGGCATCAGCCAAACGGGCACAGGTGATCCCACATTCACGTGCAGTGGATAAAAATTGGGAGGGATACTTGGGAGCAAGTGATCCCAGCCCTAGGCCATACCACACAGCCCAGGGTTCCAACACCAGGAAGATAAATCCCTGTAACTTCTGGCTGTAAAAACCAATGAGGACTGGGACGGTGGAAGAAACGACTGGATTATTAGGAAAATTCATTTAAAGGGCCCACTAGGTCTTAAAATGTATGCAAACCCACCCAATCTGAGATTCAACCCCAGGGCAATAGCTGGAAGGGCACCAGTCGCACATGGGGAGTGGGTGAAGTGACTTGAAACGACGTGAGTACCAGGCAAACCCCCCGAAGCCAGGCAGCAGCACAGTCCCCTCTTCCAGCCCTTCCCCAACACGGAGCCACAAAGCAGTGAGGTGGGTTGCCCCACCCTGATTTCTCAAAAGAAACTTTGCAGGCAAGAAGGGACCAGCAAGTAATATTGAAAGTGTTGAAAAGCAAGTACCTATCACCTAGATTATTCTGTCCAGCAAAGCTCTCATTTAGAATTAAAGGGCAGATAACTGCTTCCCAGACAAGCTAAAATTAAGGGAGTTTATCATCACCAACCCAATATTAAATGAAATGTTAAAGGGACTTATTTAAGAAAAAGAAGATCAAAACTATGAGCATTAAAACAGCAACAAATTCACAACTATCAACAACTGAATCTAAAAAAAAACACACACACCAAAAACTGAGCTAACAACCAGAACAGGAACAGAGTCATGGGGGGGGGGGGTACAGAGATCATATGGAGGGTTATCAGCTGGGAGGGAGAAAGGGACGAATGTAGGAAAAGGTGCAGGGATTAAAAAGCGTAATTGGTAGGTACAAAACAGACAGGGGATGATAAGAATAGTATAGGGAATAGAGGAGCTAAAGAACATATATGCATGGCCCATGGATATGAACTAAGGGGGGGAACTGCTAGACGGAAGGGGCATACTAGGCAGAGGGGGATAAAGGAGGGAAAATTGGGACAACTGTAAGAGCATAATCAATAAAATATACTTTAAAAATTAAGTACAAAAAATGAAAAAGAAAAAAGAGAAAACAACCAAAAATCCCAGAAATCACAATACTGGGCACATATCCCACAGAAATAAAAGCTCTGTCCATACAAATCTGTGCACAAATAATCATAGCAGGTTCATTTGTAATGGCCAAAAAGTGAAATCATCCCAGATGTCCTTTCACATATGAATGTTATCTCCACACCATGTAATATCAATCTATACTATTAAGAAACTGTTGATATATTAAACAACTTGGATATACCTCAAAAACATCTTCTAAGTGAAACAGCCAATCTCAAAACTGCACATAGTATGTAATTCCAGTTATGGAACAATCTCGAAATGACAAAATTATTATAGAGATGGAGAACAGATTGATGGTTCCTAAAGGTTAGGGCTGGTAGGAGACCACGTGAGGAGGATTGCTGTAATGATGGAAGACATCTGTATCTTGATTGTATGTTGACCCAAAAGTCACAGGTTTGATTCCTGGTCAGAGCACACGCCTGGGTTGTGGGCCAGGTCCCAGGTTGGGGGCATGTGAGAGGCAACCGATTGATGTTTCTCTCACACATCAATATTTCTCTCCCTCTCTTTCTCCTGCCCTTCCCCCCTCTCTAAAAATATATAAATAAAATCTTGAAACAATAAATAGGAAACTCCTTCTTGGACTGCTTTACAATTGTTTTTCTATAATATTAAATAATTCGGTTTTTGCTCTTTTAAGGTACCTATGTCAAGAAAGAAAAAATACATGCCACAGACTGGGAGAAATATTTGCTAAAGATATATCTAATAAAGGGCTGTTATACAAATTACACCAAAAAAAGTCTTAAAACTGAACAATAAGAAAATAAACAATTGATTATAAACATGGGGAAAAGCATCTAAAATCTAAAGAGGCACCTAACCAAAAATGATAAACCAATGGCCAATACACATGAAAAGATGCTCCACATTATAGGTCATCAGAGCAATTCAAAATGAAACAACAATGTGATACCACTACACATCTATTAAAAATAGCCAAAATCCAAAGCAATGACAAAACCAAATACTGGCAAGAATCTGGAGCAACAGAAACTCTCATTCATTGCTGGTAAGGATGCAAAATGGTACCGCCACATTGGAAGACAATCTACCCATTTCTTACAAAACTAAATACTCTTACCACATGATCCAGCAATCACACCTTTTAGTACTTACCTGAAGGAGTTGAAACTTTGTCCACACAAAAACCTGTACATGGATGTTTATAAAAGCTTTGTTCATAGTTGCCAAAACTCAGAATCAACCAAAATGTCCCTCATTAGCTAAATGGCTAACTGTGGTACATCCAGACAATGGAATATTATTCAGGACTAAAACAAAATGAGCTATCAAGGCATGAAATAACATGGGGTAAACATAAATGCATTGCTTAGTGAAACAGAAAAATCCACCTACTACATGGTTCATCTATATGGTATTATATATAGGCAATATTATATATTATATATGGCATTATATAAAGGCAAAACTGTAAAGACAGTAAAAGGTGAGTGGTTGTCAGGGGCTTGGAGGAAGGAGGGATTGATAGCTAGAGCACAGGTGATGTTCAGGACAGTGAACCTATTCGATATGCTACTGCAATGGTGGGTACATGGCATTGATCATTTATCGAAACCAAGAGGGAACTCTAATGTAACATGTGGACTTTGGATGAGAATGATGCGTCCATGCAAGGACCTGTGTGGAAGGATGTGAACGGTGGGAGATGTGCATGTGTGAGAACAGGGGTGTACACAGGCAGCCTCTGTGAGTTCCATTCACTTTTGCTGGATAACTAAAACTGCTCTTCAAATATTACTCTACAAAAGACATACCAAACTCTTGAACACCCATGTTCACTGCAGCATTATTCACAATAGCCAAAAAGTGGGAGCAACCTAAATGTCCATTGATGGATGAACAGAAAATTAAAATGTGGTATACACACATAATGAAATATAACCTAGACTTTAAAAAGAAAAAAACTTTGTCAATGCTACACATGAATGAATCTTGAAGACATTATGCTAAGTGAAATATAGTTACAAAAAGATAAATAGTGTATTGTTCCAGTAATCTGAGGCTTCTAAAGCAGTCAAACTTGTGGACACAGAAAGTGAAATGTTTCCAGAGGGCAGAGGGGTGGGGGAAGAAACAGAGAGCTGTTTTACAATGGGGACAACGCTCCAGTTTTATAAGCAATGAAAGTTCTAGAACTCTGTGAGTGTATTTTAACACTAGTGAACCACACACTTAATTTTTTGTAAAGATGGTAAATTTTATGTTAACACAAATTTTATTGCAATGAAAAACTTTTGAAAAAGATAGAAATAAGGTGTGTGTGGTTAGATACACACATGCATAGATATTCAGTGACATAAAGGACAAATGCATAAATACATAAAGACAAACACCAACTTCAAGGATATGCCTCTTGAAGAGTTAGGATGGAGGTATTTGGGAGAGATGACCAGGGAACTCTACCACTTCTTAAGCAATGTTTCATTTCGTCACTGGATGGTAAAATGCAACTTTAAGGTTAATACTCCATTTTAATGGATCATTCCAAAGATTTTAATATAAAGGTTTTAATACAGAGGAGACAGATTAGTGGTTACACATTAGACTGCGACATGACATAATAGTTTTAAATTGTGAATATAGTAATTATATGAAATAAGGTAAGAAAAGCTCCATAACCCCTTGACGGACAATATTATCAACACCAGAGTCTGATAAAGATCAAAACTAAAAACACAATTAATGTTTATGAATAAAGTTCTTTATAACCTTTTTAAAAAATGTAGAAGCTATAACAATCAGTGTTTAAGTATTTACAAATCATTAATTACTACGGATTGTATGCTGTTACCCCCCGCTCAACAAATAAATCAGATTTCCCATGTAACAATATGACCTGAACAAGTCACGAGTTAAAAATTAACTGGTCCAAAGCCCACAATATTTATGTTCTGAATTAATTATAACCAAACTTCATCTATACAATCCCAACTCTTCACTCCTACCTATTTTACCTTCACCTTTAACAATAACTATTTTCCTTCTGCTTCCTGGTGTCTGCAACATTTTTTACAGCTTATACCTGTATTAAACATACCAATTTGATGTGTTGATGAATGAAACATCATGGCCTTAAAGTGCAAATAATACTAGCAAGAGTGGTTTGATTGTTTTGTTTTTCTCACGTCTGATTTCAAGAACTCCACTGGTTTGGCTGACCTA